GGTAGGAAGGCAAAGTAGGAAGGGTAGGAAGGCAGGGTAGAAAAGGTAGGAAGGCAAGGTAGGAAGGGTAGGAAGGCAGGGCAGGAAAGGTAGGAAGGCGGGACAGGTAGGAAGGGCAGGAAGAGTAGGAAGGAAGGGCAGGAAGGCAGAGTAGGAAGAAAGGGTAGGAAGGCAGGGAAGGGCAGGAAGGGTAGGAAGTCAGGGTAGGAAGGGTAGGAAGGCAGGGCAGGTAGGAAGGGCAGGAAGAGTAGGAAGGAAGGGAAGAAAGGCAGGGTAGGAAGGCAGAGTAGGAAGAAAGGGTAGGAAGAGTAGGAAGGAAGGGCAGGAGACAGGGTAGGAAGAAAGGGTGGGAAGGCAGGGTAGGAAGGCAGGATAGGCAGGGTAGGAAGGCAGGGTAGGCAGGGTAGGAAGGCAGGGCAGGCAGGGTAGGAAGGCAGGGCAGGCAGGGTAGGAAGGCAGGACAGGTAGGAAGGGTAGGAAGGCAGGGCAGGAAGGCAGGGAAGCAGGCAGGGCAGCAGGCAGGGCAGCCTGGGATTTTCACAAAGCCTTGTAGCGATAGAATCGTAAAATCGTTTCATTGGAAAAGACCTTTCAGATCATCCAGTCCAACCATTCAGCCCTGCCAAGGCCACCACTAAACCATGTCCCTCAGCACCACATCTACACAGCTTTGAAGTCCCTCCAGGGATGGGGACCCCACCACTGCCCTGGGCAGCCTGTGACAACCCTTTTCATGAAGAAATTGTTCCTAATATCCAATCTAAACCTGTCTTGGCAACTTGAGGCCATTTCTGGGGTTGTTTATTCTAGACTGGGGGTGTTCAGCCTGGAGAAAAGGAGGCTGAGAGGAGACCTTCTCACTCTACAACTGCCTGAAAGGAGGTTGGAGCCAGGGGAGGTTGGGCTCATCTCCCGAGGGATAAGTGATAGAGCAAGAGGAAATAGTGAGTAGTTAATGAGAACACAAAAGTTAGATGCAGAATGAATATTTCTGTTCTGTGGGTTGAAAAAGCAGGCAGGATAGTCAGAGGAAATGACAAAGCCCTGGTCATTCCATGGCACTGCAGGTGGGTGTTAGAAAACAAACACAAAACTTTGATGCTCAGGATTGGAAGGTCCAGAGAATTCATATCCAAGGATTTTACAGGGCCAGAACAGCAAAGGTCTTGGGTCAGTGCTGTTCATTTGCAGTAAGTCTTGCAGGACTGTGGAATTTGCAAAGAAATTCCAACAATTAATGGGAATACCAATATTTCAGTGGGTAAAGGAGATCATCCCAGAAGTTGTGGGTTTGCCAGTTGACACTGATTCCTAGGAAAATGATCTAACAGCTGTTAGGAGCTTTATTCACTTTAAGAATTAAAGGAGAAGAATGTAATGAACACAAATCGACTGGGGGTTACAGAAATTAAATCTTGTCAAGCTAATTTAATTGCTACCCCGTTTGAAAACAGAATCAGATTTAGTTAATATAAATAATAGTGCTGGGAATTACTACAAACTACATGGTGTGACACATCCAGGCAACTTTGTGTGAGAGTCTGAAACACTACAGAGACTGTAAGATCCACAGATCTATTACAGACTGGTCAGCCAAGGAGAGTCAAGAGGGAGTGTTCCCTGGGAAGAGGCTTTCTGAGGGCTGCTCCAGGGAGCAGGTTTTGTCTCCAGACTTTTGAGTGACAGTCCACCAGCTCCACAGGACAGCATTGAGCCTACAGGGATGCAGGGAGGCTGGAAGCTCCTGCTCAGCTACAGGGATGCAGGGAGACTGGAAGCTCCTGCTGATGGAACAGCCCTGACCTAAGGCAACCAGCTGGCAAAGGGATAACAAGAGATGCAGAGAAAGGGAGATGGACAAGTTGAACCCTAGGAATCAGGCACACATTTTGAACAGGAAAGGTAATTTCTTATCAAAACAACTCCCACAGGACTGTGATGGCTTCTGCAATAAGGGATTTTTAAATCCAGGAGAGGATGCTTTCCTAGAAAATCTGTTTGGCTCAAGCTGGGATTTGCTCTGTGAGGTCTCACTGATACACTGGATTTGTTTGACTCCCTCTGTTTGCCTTTGGAACTGAAGCCACCCTGCAATAACAAAATCAATATGTCCCCAAGGAGGAAATTATACAGACAGGCAACACTTGGCTGGTGAGGGCTGCTGATGGCAGATATGCCATAACATTTCTCAGAGGCTTCCACATCTCTGACCTCTAACAGCCTCTTTATCCCCCTTCTCTTTCTGTCTTGTATAATCCATTAACCCTTCATGGCCAAGCAAAGCAACAGGACACCCCTCCAGAGGGCCCCTATCAGACACTAATTTTTATGGCAGGGTGTTTCTGCAGGGTCTGTTCTCTCTGCACAGCTGTGAAATAACTTTCCAACAGCAAAGCCACATCCCAGCACCTCCTGGCAGAGACAAGAAATCACAGTGAGCAGCAACAACTGGGTTTTCTTCAGGAAAAGTATGATTCCTCTTAAGGGCTGTGGCTAACGCAGTGAGCACTGTGACCAGAAATGTGCCTTCCCTCCAGCACCTTCTAAATACAGCTCAAAATAGTGATATGTCTATCTCTCTCCTGCTGTTGCTGCAGGTCCTGAAAATATGCATCATATTCCTTGCTGGGATACCAGTGACACCACCACGACTGGCAGGGCTGGGTGTCACAATTCCCTCTCTTCCCTTGGGGGTACACTCGGGTGTGCAGAGCAAAGTGCTCTCCTGGCCCCCCCATTGCTCTGCTTCCAGGAGAGTCTGAACTGGGTGGGGAAGCACCAGGCTTTGGAAAGACTTTTGCAGCACACTCGTTATTTACAGAAGCCTGAAACAGGAGCAAGAGCCTGGAGAGCAGTGAGCAAGAGGACACAGCAGGGCCACGGCCAGGGCTGGCACAGCCAGGGGACAGAACCGTGGCTTCCCTGCAGGGCTGGCAGCACTCAGGCACGGGAAAGTTCCCTTTCAGGCCCCACAGGATGCCACCAGGCAGCTTCTCATTACTCTTCTCACCCCCTGCACTCCCACCAGCGTGAAATGGGCTTCATATTTCCCCCCCAGGCAGCAATGAGTGG